ATAATCACTGGCAAAACACGTTAATTAAAAACCTTTGTTTTGATATGCTGCGGTATTTGGAACGAGAAGATACTTCGGGGCTTCCTAATCTCTGCCCAACCGAATTGGATTCAACGATTGATCTCTTTCTCAATGTCGGATCTGCCCTAGGTATATTAGACCGTGGGAGAGCCACGCTTCGGCATGAATGAGCCGGCTCGACCGGAGTGATACCACGGCCTCACAGAAAACCGATGTGAAGCAACGCTTGCGCTGTGTTTCGTCGTGTGAGTGAGGGTACCGGAGACCCAACCCTTCCCTATTCCCTTCCCTCTACCCCTTAACCCTTCCCACCAAGGCCGGCAGCGCGCTTGTAGCCCCTCTGGTGTTGCAGGTGTCCATGGGCGACGGTAATCACTTACCATCAGGTGATTCGTCTGCTCGTCTGCCCCCTATCCTATAAAAAAAAAAAAAAACGGTCGACAACTTTGTGTGTGGAGTTCTCGTGTTATGTGAATAGGTACGACATGGCCGTTAGTTATGAACTGCGTCCTATCCATGTTCATTTTTAGTTTCTCAAGAAGCAGGTCATAACTTCCCAGATAACCTGATAACTTGGGGCAAGTTTGATTTTTCTTTGATTCTAAACTGCTGCGTCAAAATTACGAGGCAAGTTTGTTACAATGTCGCTGCAATATTATTATGTTAAATATGAAGTTTCAAGTTTGCGACAATATTGTTTGAATATTGTTATAACAAACATACTTATTTGTAACACACCCATCATCTTCATAGGTGCCCGTATAGTTCTAAGTCCGCAAACTAGATGGCGCTGTTCATTTAATGCATCGCGGTATCAATTTATATTGTAAGATTGTATAAGTGATATGCCGTTTAGTATGATCTTAATATGGAATTCGTAACTAACCGTGCCAGTTAACTACTTTAACTCTTAGGCTAGGCTCAGGCTTAGTGATGTGCCAAGTCTGCTATATTTAGTATTCGAATACTTTGGTACTCATAAAAAAGAATCGAGTCAGTGCCCGAGTCAGAAGAGTCGGGTAGGTACTCGAATACTAGCACAAGTATTCGAATACTTCACTGGACTAGTGTATTATTTGAATCAAACTTTGTAGTTTGCATGAGTTTGTCGACAACTACACATTATAATGAACTATGAACAATAGGAAACTATTTCAATAATAATAGATTAATACATAATACATACTACTATAATCAGTCATTTAATCATACTTGGGTAATTATGAACATTATTAAAAAGTTCTATAGAAGCACGCAAAGCAAATCTTGCTTTTATAATTTTAATCATACTAAAATTATCGAAACTGTAAATAACTTTAAAATAAACAATTATACCGGCTGCATTTAAAATGACTCTCAAAATTTTTTCTAGGCATTAGGTATCGTTAATAGATCACATATATGAAAAAAAACAGTATGTAAAATTTTCAAAATAAAATGTAAACTTGTTGCAATTACAAGATAATTATAACATTCGCATTGTCACATTAGTTATGAATAAAACAAGGCAGCAGGGGTAGCAAGGGCGCGGGCGCAGGGGATGTACGCGCATGCGCCAACAACAATGTCTGCTCGGTTTTTTATTTTGTCGGCGCACATCAGTCAGTCGCCCGCGCACAACCCCTTTGCTTCCGTGTTACGTACCGCCCGTCGCAGCGCCACATTTCGCGCGTCGTAATGTATTCCAATCGCGAATATTATGAAATGGTGCAGTGTTACATACATGGTGATCAACGTGACGCGGAGGCCCCATCGTGGGGCCTGCGCTATCGCCGGACCTACCACAGTGTGACTTTTATTTGTGGGGCGAAATTAAAAGACGTGTGTATGTTGAGGAGCACAAAGCCTCGAGGACTTAAAAGTGCAAATCAGAGCGGCATTTTACCAAGTGAAAAATGACACGGTAGTGGTCGCAAAATTAAAAGACAATGTGCAGAAAAGGTGCAAGTCTCTGTTTGGAGAGGAACGGTATGTACTTTGAACAATTATTAAAGTATACGTAGGTAAATAGTTAAAGTAGGTAGGTAAATTGATTAGTTGATTATGTACATAAAGTTGATGATTTTTTAAATAAGCCTGATTGCAAAAGAATAGCGAGTTAAGTACCTACTTTGAATTGGTTTAACTAAACAGAATTTTAGGTAACTCGATATTTACTTACCTACTTACTTTATAAATTTAAAGCAGTATAGCTATTGTAATAGTAGGTATCTAATAGGATTTATGCAATTTGACGGTTCTAAGCCCGTAAAAGTATGAAGAGGTTTCAACTTTATTTATCATTTCCCCAAGCATGACAAAACGAAAACATTTTAGGTAGCTGCTATTATTACTATCAATGAATTGCGGCAAGGGAGGAAGGGGTAAGTGTAACGTAGCGCGTAAAGCGCACGTACTGGGCAGCGAGAGCGTCCACAAATGTAGGCTTTTGAAAATAACTTGGTGACGATATAACTCAACATTTTTGTTCTAAACGACATAAAAAGAAAAAACACGTATTTCATTATTTGTCGTAAAGATTAACATACTCAAATTTGGAGAGTGGTTTTAATTGCTTGCTGTATAAAATAAAATAAGAAAATAAACACGAACACTTATGTTAAAAACTTTTAGTTACGTCGTAAACGTAAAAATCTTCTATAAAATTATAAGCAATCAACGAAAATAAAATTATAGTACGAAACGATGTACTTTCTGAACGAATTGTTCTGTACCATTAGTCACAAATAAAACCGTACGTGTTAAGCTAAAAGGTTGCTATTAAAGTACACTACTTAGGTTTCGAATACCGTAAGTACTCGAATCCTGTACTCGAGTACCTGCGTATCCGAATTCTGTATTTTAAGTACTTGAGTTCCTGAGTACCTGCTAAGTATTCGAGTAAATACTCGAGTCAGTCTGACTCGGCACATCACTACTCAGGCTGTGATGTGCTGTGGTCTGAGTATAAAGTCGCAATAGCTTCTGGACCAAAATTTTTGAATGATCAAAAGATTAATAAAATCTTAGTAAACATAAAGTAATATTTGCCTCGAAACCTGTATTCCAGGTACTCGAGTACGCGAGTACCTGCTAGGTATTCGAGTTAGTACACTTGCACTACCTATGATACGTCAAAGGTAGTGCCAGTTTGTCACGCTGAAACTAGAAAGTTTGATTTAAACTTGCTGCAAGTTGGTGCAGTTGTCATAGCAATTTTCTTTTTTTATGAATCAAACTTGTTGCAAGTCAGAAACAAGTTTATCTGGGTCTATCTGGGTCTTTAAGTCTATCTGGGTTTCTTCTTGAGATACTTGCCAGAGGTCTTTATACATTAACATTATACTAAGACCTTCCAGGGTCTCAGTCATGACCACGAAATCGTCAACGAATCGAAGATGAGTGATTTACTTACCGTTAATGTAGATGCCGAGTCCATTCCAGTCCAGAAGTTTGTAGACATCTTCCAATGCAGCGGCGATATAACGTCACCCTGCCTGACATCATGCTGTAGTCGTATAGGCTTCGAATTTTGATCCCGGAGGCGAACTTCAACGTTTCGTTGTAACGATAGTCAATGCGGCACCGCTGAAGTGATTGTAACATTGCCCAGGGTCTCGACTGAATCATAGTCCAAAAACGCTTAGCACAGCGTCAGATTGTACTACTCGGTCTTTATGATAATTTGTCGTTAAGTATGTATTTGGTCTATGGTGCTAAAACCTTTTCGGAAGCAGGCTCGCTCGGGAGACTAACGTTCTTTCGAGACGGTTCGTGATGACTCTCGAAAATAACTTATAAACATGGCTCAACAGTGATATAGGCCTCAAGTTTTTCAAGAGGGTTTTGTTCCTCTTTTCGAAAATAAGACCACTTTACTCCTGTGTCATGCACGAATCGTTCTGCCCTCGAGAATGGCGGAACTGAATAGCTTCTGATGTGATTCAAGTACTCTGGGCTTCAGAAGTTCAGCTGTGATTCCATCCTCACCCGATGCCTTATTGTTCTGAAGTTGTTTGAGAGCCATACTGATCCTGTACAGACTGACGTCCAGGATATCTTCGGTCTATTGTCGGTTCAATTTGGCTATTGGGTCTTTGGTCACGTTAGTAAGAGAAGCTTGTGTTGTTGTCCTTAGAACTTTTCGACTTTCCTTAAAAGTTCTAGTTTAAACGATACTCTGCTGTCATACTTGACAAGGTACATAATTATCAATATGTCGGTTCTACCGACTCAACTTTTTCATTATTTACATTTATAAATACTGAAATGCCTCACATTAGATAAAAACTTTATACATTTTGTTTTGTGTGAATTGAGTATTATTATTATCAAACCATTGTAGAACTTTATCGAGAGCATGATTTACATCGTCAAAATAATCATTACCCCTCTTAACTTCAAACACTAAAGAGGTGTCATCTGTAGTATCAAGATCATTAATGTAAATAAGAAAAAGCAATGGTGTTAATACCGATCCCTGAGGTACGCCCATATTAATGGGTGCCCCTGCAGATTTCGCTTCATTAATTACCACTTTTTGACTTTATGTATAACTTATTAGCACTGCACTAAATATTTATTTAATAATAGAGATGCACAAAATGTAATCATGATTAACGATAATATTTAGTTACATTAAACAGGATCTAATTTTTTTTAAATGACTATAACTAGATTATTATCTTCAAACCTGTGTAAATGATGATGATGAATACATGTTGCTCATTTCTGTATAAAAGTTTATTAATAGTTGTATTGGTTTTGTTATATTCGCCACTTCATTGTTACCTTCTGAAGTTTAAATATTTTAGTTTAAACTAATGATTACTTTTTGGCCATTGTTTCATATGTTGATGTATTATAATAATCATTGAATGGTAAAAATTTAGAGAACCTTTATATTTAACTAATATACATTTACTCTTTGGACTTCATTCGATATGATGCTACTTTTCTATATCATCACTGTTTCTTCGATTTAGCTATATATACACTTTTAGAGATCGATATCTATCGGTTTTCCGATAAATTGTTACACATTATTAAGCCTTAGTTTTTTTGCCTTTGCTTTGTTTTAAAATGAAACGAATCATAATTATTTCACTGTCACGCGAAAAAAATTTTGTACGACAGACAATGGCTGTATGAGCGAAGCTCTTTTCGCCTTTCCTTTACGGACATATCTAAAAAAAAAGGTCACTGTCACTTCATACTTTATTTATTTATTTCATTTGTTTGCATCAAGTTACCGTTTCATGATGTAAACAAAATTAAAATTCAAAACAAAAGAAGAAATTTAGTAAAATTTACTCTTTGCATTAATATGCAAAGTTCACAAGTTTCTAACTTAGAGAGAAATGTATATTTTAAACAACTTCACGCCCATTAACACTTATTGATTTTATTGTATTGATTTAATTCAAAGTGCCGTAATACTACAACATACAATCAAGTGCTTTTCGTCTAGGGAAATGGCAAATTTACTAAAATCTGTAATAAAAGCTTCTGAAAAAGGAGCAAGTATTGCAAGATCTTGTGTTGGAGTAAAAGACATTGAAGACGCTCTCTTAATTGCCGAAAAATGTGAAGGCGAAGCCAATACACGCTTTGATAAAGATTTTAAAACGATCGCCGATGTGTTGGTACAAGAAACTGCAAAATCTATCATAGTCAACGATTTCCCAGATTTAAAAGGTCATGTAAGAGGTGAAGAGTGTGCTGAAATAGGTGGACAAAAGATTAAACTGCTAGAAACTGAAGCAAAAACAGAAGAACTTTTACGGTTACTTGTTACGTCTAATCTAGCATCAAGAATGGCAAAAGCAGCTCATAATGATAACCCAAATATTGATTTTAGTGATATTCCTGATGATATACCTGAAGTAGATACTACAGATATAGGTATTTGGATAGATCCTATAGGTAGGGTGTTATATCATTGATAAGATTTGTAAGCAATAAACTTATTTATACAAAAGTAATAATATTATAGATGCAACTGCAGAATTTATAGCTGGAGTTCAAGGGACAGCAAAGTCTGGAAGTGGTCTTGAATGTGTTACTGTTTTAATTGGAGCATACCTGAGATCAACAGGTGAACCTGTTATAGGAGTAATCAATCAGCCATTCTACAAAAAGTAAGTTAAAATGTCTTATAGTTCTTGTCTTGTAGACAATTTTGTATCCATTCTAAACATATTATATTTCAGTGGTATGGGGAGAATTCTTTGGGGTTTAAGCTATAAAGGAATACAAAAATGGGGTGGAACACATGTCAATGCAACTAGTCCCAATAATATTATTCTTATGAGTAATGCAGAAAACAGTGAAATAAAGCAAAAACTTATAAATTTCCCTTATAATATTGATACTGCACCTGGAGCTGGTTACAAACTTATGAAAGTTAGCCAGGGTAAGTGTTTTATTTCAAAAATTATCATAAGCAGTTGATTCAGTATTATGTATTTATACCAAATATTTTTCTTCTCAGGTGAGGCAATAGCTTATATACTCTCAAAAGGTACAACTTTTCTTTGGGATACATGTGCGCCTCATGCAATACTAAGAGCAAGAGGTGGAGATATTATAACTTATAAATCTCAGGAATCTGTCAAATATAACATTCCAGAATGTAATGATAATCAACAGTACTGCAATTCTAATGGCATTATTGCTTACAACGATCGTGTAACATTCAATGAGTTCAAAGTAGCCTTGGAATGAATTACTTTAAGAACAATTATTTTAAATCCAAAAATTTAGATTCTATAGGAAGTGAATATAGTATTTTGTCAAAATATCGATTTCAAGTTAAAATATATCTTAAACAACTTAAAAATGCAGTTTTTAGGAAATCTTTCATTAAATTGATGTTCTAAATTTGAAAATTTTTATTGATAATTGATCAGTTGCAACAAACATCCATTGAGGTTTAATGACGCCTTTAAGCTCTAATTAATGGCAAATTTGAATGGGTGATGTTGCTTTAAACTAATGTCAATTTTAATGGATGTTTGTGCAACTGACTGTAAGAATCTCAATTTAAGTATTTATGTGTTAATTTTCATCTAGTCAAGTTATATATAGTTATTAAGTTTAAAGTTATTTTGTTCACCTTTATGTATGACAGTACTCAGATCAGAAATGTCATTTGTACCCTTAGTGATACTCTAAGGTGCTCCATGTTTGTACCTGTTATTTAGTGTTATTGTCATGTTGGTATGAATAAATAAATAAAATTGTGAGATTAATGTTTATTAAAGTTACATAACTCTTTCAGGCTTCAGAATCAGAGCTTGAGCTTTTACTACTTTTTTTCTTCTTCTTTTTCTTTTTAGATTTTTTCTCTTTGTTTTTACTTTTTACATCCTTTTCCTCTTTTTCCTGCAATTATAAAAATACATATATCATAAATATAATACTTGTTTTTTGGAATAAAACTCATAAATGGTAAGTACCAGTGGCATAAAGTGCCTTGGTGTTGCCCTTTATCAAAATAAGTTTGTTAATAATACCTTCTTGATTATTGGTTCTGATTTAATTATCTGTGAAGGAGCACAGCCATCAGTTCTTATAGCTGCAGTCAATTCATCTACTTTTGTCATGTCAGCATTTGGAGCACGATATTGTTCACAATGATCTACCCGAATTGTGCGTCCTAAGATCTAAAGAAAAGATCCTATTATTATCATGATTTGTAAGAAATCATGTCAATCATTACTGTAATGATACACTTACTTTAATTCCATTTAAATTATCTACAGCAAGAATAGTCGACCTTTGATCCTCGTAACATATAAATGCAAATCCTCTTGATTTACCTGTTTCTTTATCTCGTACCAAATTTATGTTAACTATTTCACCATATCTAAAACATTTTTCTTGTTTTAAAAAACAGTGCACAGTAATAATATATTCAAATTATAGTCTGTATCTAAATGTGATAATAATGTACCAGATAGATTTCACATGGTTTACAATTACTAGGAGGATCTATTTGCTGCAGGGTCTGGAAAATTTCTTTTAAAGGAATCTCAGGTAAAATCCATTTTATATAAAGTAAATAAATAAATAGGAGACACATGAAAGAAGTGTGACGTGGGTAGTATCTTGGGTTAATTATTTAGCAATATATTTTTAATCTTACTGTGAAAACACGGAAATAACATCCCCTTCAGTTAGGTCATAAGGCAAACCTCCAATAAATATCCATGCACTGTCTTTATATTGATCATGCCATGAAGTTTTTGAGTTACCGGATAGCTCGCGTTCACTTAATTTAAGAACATTCTTCACATTTCTGCAACAATTCAAAATAAAGATTTTATGTTAAATCGAAGATGTAGATATGGGTAATATTATTGATTGTACATACGTCATAGGATTCATTTTAAAGTTTTGTGTAAAAACATATCTTAATTATTTGACAGTCAATCCAGTCTTCACAATCGCATTCCTCTTTTTTTTTTATTAATGGCCAGTCTGTCGAAATTCCGTACAAAAATATCCACAGATTATACAGATAGGAATCAACTAGCGATGGGCAATTATTACCTAATAAAATCGAATTAGTCGATGTTCAGCTACAATGAGCAAGTATTTAAAAAAAAACGAAAGTACTAAAAAAGCACCTCCACTAGATGGCAACTCTAGCAAAAGTTGATTTTTTCAGGAAACGAATGGAAAAAGGATGGTTATTTCCGTTTCTTTTAACTAACATTAAAAAAATGGAATTTGCAAAGTTCGAAACTTAGATATCAATACAAATACGAAAAAGTACAAATAGAATATGAGTTGTTTATTGAGTTTTAAAAATTAATTTACTTTTATACTTGAAAGAAAACCGGAAAGGTTGTCATGGAGAAATCAACAACGTACTGTAGCGACATCTAGTTTGATTTCGGGAACTATTGTTTTTTTTAATACTTACTCATTGGAAATAAAGATTTAGCATTTATACCAATAGAAATAATGCATAATGAAAAAAATTGTATGTTGAAAGCACTTATCAGATAGAGATTATAATAAAGAAAGCGGCTAAAACGTACCGCAGTTCCACTTTTAAGACTCTCCACGGATTCTCTGCTGACTAACATACTTCAAGGATTGCCATGCTACATTTTCAAGAAAGAATGGATCCGCTTGCACCATCTCTCTTTATTCATCATTATTCACCTGTGTGAGGGGGTTTTCCTCGTGGCTCGTTCTTCAAGTCAAACTTTCCATCACGAAAGCGTTTAAACCAAAATCGCACAGTGCGTTCATTAGCAGACCCCTCTCCAAACCAAACATTGATATTGCAGGTTGTTACTGCCGCGTTACTTCCGCGTTGGAACTCATATTCAAAAATTACTCGAATTTTCACAGTATCCATTTTTCACAGTATTCTTATCTAAGTTGAATAACAAAAACAATTGGAAGTGGATATTCAAATGTATCACATTTTTTAAAAGAAGAACATCATAGAAACCATTTGAAAAAAGTTTCTTTTAAAATCCTTAAACCATGAAGATTCTATGTCAATGAGGAAGTATTTAAAAAAAAAACGAAAGCACTTAAAAGCACCTCCACTAGATGGAGACTCTAGCAAAAGTTGATTTTGGCAAGTAACAAATGGACTAAAGATAGTCATTTCCGTTCCTTTTAATTAACATATTAAAAAACTGAAATTTGAAAAGTTCGAAACTAAGATATCAATAGAAATACGTAAAAGTACAAATAGAGTATGTTGTTTATTGAGTTTTGAAAACTAATTTACTTTTAAACGTGAAAGAAAACCGGAAGGATTATCACGGAGAAATCAAGAACGTGCCGTAGCGACAGCTAGTTTAATTTCGGGAACTAATTTTCTTTTTAACTACTTCCTCATTCAAGGAACCTATAACAATAAAACGCCTATATCATACTGTAACCCATTAGGGGTTAGGTAACTTGGATAATATTAACCAATTTGTCCGCGAAATTATAATATAATTTTAAATCAAAATGCATTGGAAAAAAATCTTATGTTGAGCAAATAAACAAAATAATCATGATTTTCACTATGTTAACATCGTTTTTAAGGTTCCGTACCGCTGTCGCTGTCTATTTGTCACCAGGCTGCGTCTCCGGAACCGTAAAAGACACCGTATTAGACATTTGAAAGTTTCCCTGATGATGTATTTCTATAGCCGTTATAACAAGTGCCAGCCTTGTTATTTGTGAGAAGTAAGTAAATGTATGATGTAACATGCATGATATTTTTCTATTAAATATCTGACACTGACCTATTTCTTTATTATGATATTTTTTTTCACTTTATTATGTTCTTCAAATGAAACGAAAAGTCACTATTCAACGCGAGCGAAGGGCATTGCTGGTAAATATATAAATAATCTTTTATTTAGCCACCAAATTATTCCACATAAGCTAGACGTTTTCTATATAATAAACAAATTTCTGTTATGACCCTTACCCTTATGACTTTACCCTTAGTTCGGCCTCTGCTCACCTCGATGCACTCCGTGACGCTAACACTGATTTTAATTTTTCGTTTTACGATTAGGGAAAATATCAAACGGAATTCAAAGATAAAAAAAAAAGAATTTATTACGTATAGTGAGAATGTGAGGGACCAATCAGGTAAAAAATAACTCCGATAGCGAAAATAACAAATAATGTACCTTATATTTAATTGTTATAAAAAGTCGCGGGAAAACAGTTAGTGTAATATTAGAGTTAAATAGCCTCTGTGCTTGATATCTCGCTCGGCTAGACAATCACAGATACAAAAAGTCAAAGACTACTAACTTATATTTATTAAAAGCAAAGGAACTTAACACGCAGCCATCTCACGATTTTTTTTTATTCAACTATTTTACCGGTATATCTTTTTAACACAGGTGAATTCAACTAATTGTAAATAATTTTATAGTTAGGTATATACTTTCTGTTTTGATATACAAAACAGAAAGATCAAATGTCAAAGTCAATGCTCGTCTTTGCTTTTTGATTAATCGAAGAAACGACTTTCAAAAAGGGCTTACTTCGATTAATCAATCGCACATCCCTAGTCATCACTAGGGATGCTGCTTTTAGAAAAAAGAATACGTGGGTAAGCAAAATCAACCTACAAATTAACAATATAATATAAAGTGGTTTTTGTTTTTTTTTGTTTTACAACGTAATAATAATGACGACTCCAACTCCTGATAATCCTGAGAATTTTGATCAAGTGAGTGAGGTGATATTTGTAGCAAATCGTTGTTTGTATAATAATAAAAAAAAATATTTTTAGTTGACGATTCTATCAATACTAAAGGGAAATGCTATTTTCATAGCCATTTTATTATTAAATTGCCTTAAGCATGGTTTTTTTGGCAACTAATATGGGTAACGTCTCAATGAGTGATATATGTTGATAAATTAAATTACTTGGTAAAACAACATTTTTTATTAATTCAAATAACAACAAAAGATGTTATTATTTTTTATTATTAAGTTTATATACCTACTTAGTTTAGTTATCTATGTATCCGTCCAAAAAAGTATCTATTGTTGAATTTTGTAATGAAATATTCTTCATTCTAATGGATAGTTTTTTTATCTAATTTAGTATAAAAATATTTGACAATTCTAACATAACTCAGTGAACCATTAAAACAATACATGCAATGAGTTAGTAATAAAATATTCTTTGTAACTACCGACATCAAAAGGTAGTCAATATAAAACACGACAGGTCTGAATTAATGAATTTAAGCATGCTACAATAATAATGTAATAGTTTTTGTAGAAGGGTCAGTATGTGCATGAGGTTAACCATTTCTTTTATTTACCTCACTGCTTAACTTGCATATATTCTGTGCCCACAGTTTGATGAAGAGGAGTCAGAACAACAACTTGGAGCCACTGCATCTGGCCGCAAGAGATTGTTCAGTAAAGAGTTAAGATGTATGATGTATGGTTTTGGAGATGATCAAAATCCTTATACTGAAAGTGTGGATTTTTTAGAAGACCTAGTAATTGAATTTATTACTGAAACTACCCATAGGTACTTGGTTTATCGTAATATATTAATCTGTATTCTAAAGCAATTTAATATGTATATAGCTTAAACTTGAATGTTTCAGACAGCAGCTCCTTTTATTTTGCTATGAACTGCATGTCTTGATCTTATTTATGAGCATTTATATATATATTAAGTTCTTGTTAGTATATTGTAGCACATATTAACCAACATGATAATCACCACATTAAAAGCTCCAGACCACACTTACTGGTTGATTGGTAGAGAATGCCTCTTTGGTATTTGGTATTAGGCAATAAAGATTATATAAATAAATAGCTATAATATCTTCATAGCTATTCTATAAATAGCTATAATATATTCTTAGAACCATTCAATAAAAAAATAATACATTCCTATTTCAGAGCTATGGAAGTTGGAAGAACTGGCAGAGTGCAAGTAGAAGATATAATATTCTTAGTGCGTAAAGATCCAAGAAAATATGCCCGTGTAAAAGATTTACTTACAATGAATGAAGAACTGAAAAAGGCTAGAAAAGCTTTTGATGAAGTTAAATATGTTGGTATGTAATCTTTTAATATTAATGTATGAACATAATCCATTTAAACTTTTGTTTTTAGCTTATTTTTTTATATATCATCAATTAATATAAAATGTTTTTTTTTTAAATGCATGCAGTGTTCTAAAAGGATTTGTTAAACTGTATATTTAAATGTTGTTTTTATAAAATTATAGAGGATCAACAATAACATAGATGATGGCAAACAGGCAACATCATGCTACTAAGACTGATGCAAGTAACAAAATTTAATATGTAAAATGGCTTTGTTCGCACTTATTTAAAATTAAAGATGTATCAACATGGTGTTTTTTATAACAAAACAGTTTTTACAATCTAAAGTAAATGTGTATATTTTTGGATCCTTTAGATTGCATCAAAAATTCTAGTTGGTACACCTTTAATTATGAAGTAATTTTGGCTACATAATAACTATTTATTATTTATGTTTAATTGCTTTTTTTTACATAATATAATCATAACTTATTATAGATGGTAATATTTTTCACCTAGGTCCTATAAAATGTTACTTTGATAAAAAATTAACTAAACCAGCCTTATTAATACTGATCCCTTTTTAATTTACTTATGATTCAAGTTACTTTTCCTGATATTTGAGTAATATGCACAAATTAATCAAATATCAGGTAAGTCTGATATTTGATTAATTTGTGCATATTATACATATTAAAGTTAATACTCATCCCTTTTTAATTTACTTATGATTGACTTACCTGATATTTTATTAATTTGTGCATATTATAAATATAAAAGTTGTTTTTCTGTTTACTCCATAAATATTTGAATTTAACAAAATTATCAAAATTTCCTTGCCTTTTTCCAATTAAATATTAGGGGTTTCTGATTATAATTTTAATACTTTTTATATTTTACAGAATAAACAACAATATACATTCCCATTGCAAATGTGTTCTATTCAGAAGATTTGACTAGAAGAGGAAAGATGGAGAGGCTCATTTCCACAGTAAATGATAATGAATTGATGTGTATAAGTTTTCTATCACGATGTAATTAACTATTAATAAGAAGTGAAGGATTACCTTTACCCTCAAAGAAAAGAAGGAATGAATATATAAATTTATATTGCATTAGATAACAAAAAAAATGAACTTTTTGTAAGATGAGTTTATCAATATGGTGTATTCCATATCACATCTTACCATTTAAACCTTCCTTGAACTACGACAAACATACAAATCTAAAATCAGATAAATCTGCCCAGTCGTTCTCGGGTTTTAGCGAGACCAACGAATAACAATTGATTGATATGTATAGATAGAAATACTTTTCACTACCAACCAAATCGTTTATCAGCATTTAAAACAGTATAAATACTCAATTACCAATGTTTTATGACCATTAAAATTTCCTTTAATTTTAATAACTCGTATTATTATCGCCGTATTCATATGTTATAGCACTGTTTATGTAATATAGGAAATGCATTTTTATGATTTAAAAGACAAATAAGATTAATATAATTTATTTGTGCACTAAAATGTAATAATACAAAAAAGCAATTACAATAATTCAAATATACATAAAATAAACTACAACTATGTGTATTAAATAACAATTATTGCTATCAATATCTATCAATTAAAACATGAAAAGCAGTTAAATTGTATGTTTGAAAACAAAGAATACAAATATTTTTATTTCTTATTATGAAGATCTAATATTTGAGATAAAACTATGTGAAATTATAACATAAGTGATTCTTAAATTAAAATGATATAATAAATATATTTGTTTTAACAAAATTCACAATTCTGGCGACTAGACTGGTGTTCAAAAAAACTACCAACAGTCTAAACTTTGGTTTTTAATTTACTTCACAACAGTTTTCATATTATACTAACAATAAATAGGCCATTTGTGGCAGTGACATGACAGATTAACATTACTAATAAAAAATACACCTAAACTACATAAGTAGTCTGTCTCACGAAAGAAGTCCAGCAGCATAACTCTTATTCCTTTGTAATAAAAGCGAAAACATTGTGATTCTAGGGACTTCTTTTATGAGACTATAAGATAGGCCAGTTAATTTATAATTTATTTTGGTCATTTGAAATACATTACTTTTTTAAATATCGGAGCCAAATTATTTGATAATTATTCCACATTTAAGTTGCACTGCTTTAAAAAATTATAATTACGTCTAATACAATGTAAATAGTTAAATAAACGTTTCATTTTAACGACTTAATGAAATGTGTAAAAATACCCTTTATTTAGATAAAATCACAAACATTTTGGCAACTACATGGTCATAAAATGAAACATATACTAGTTAAATTTCTTACAAGCGCTAAAATATGATATTTAAGCTAATTCATTCAATCATACGATACGGAATGTCATTAAAATATAATCAAAATCGTTAATCATTATCTTTACTTTTGTCACTTATTTGAAATGTTACAATTTATGATTCAAACAGGGAAGACTTGTTTTGACACAAGTGAATAGCCACAAAGCTTTTAGTTTAAACCTCTGAAGTTTGATATTTTGTTAAAGGTTGCATCTCACTATAATGCTCCGATATCTACGACTTTAATGTAAATACATCTTTGAGATAAAATAACTACTATAATAAATATTAACAGCCAACTTTAAGGCAAGTAAACCTGTGAATTCATTACTTCATAAGTAACGATTACTAGATTTGATACTCTTTGTGACCGTCCGTCATTTAAATTGTGATAAATATAACAATATATTGGAAGATACACCTAATAATAAATGGCAGTATTTCTACTTCGTGTGTGAGGTTTATTTTATATTTGGTTCTATAACAACATTCGTTTAATTCTACTTGAACGCTAATAATGCTCGATAAAATAGTATAATAGTTTTATAAATATCAAGTGCTTAAGTAAATAAGGCAGATAAGGTAATTAGGGCCGTCGATAATCTGCAAAATCCTAATATAATTTGTTAACTATTATCTTAATAATATATTTGGGAACACTACTGTCTCGGATATTTGTTAATTATACATATAAATTAATGAATTTGTATTTAAAACACTAGAGAGCAATGTAGATTCAGTAGCTGACTAACCTCGTCGGGGGCCTAGGGCGGCATCAGGCTCGAACCTCTTGATATTGCATTTACACGCCCCTCCTACTAAGACGCATACTAAAACTTAGAAAGATAGGCTGTACAATCCTAATTTACGATTTGACCAAGGGAACTTGCAGCCATTTGGAGGCCCCCACAGGACAAAAGGCCCGGAGCGGACGCCCCCTTCCTCCCACCCCTTAGTCCGCCACTGTGTAGATTGCATTAAAATAGTTGCTCTGCAAAAACACTTCAGTTGTAACGGTAACTCAAAGATGCTAATCAACATGTGTTATAAACAACACCTCGGTAAATAATGCTACTTATGCCAGTAGTTTGTTCTGAATACCTTGAACTCTACTTTCATATCACGTCATTTGTGTACTATTCAGTATAAAAAAAACTTCAGAAAATAAAAACTAGATTTAGTATAAAAACGGACTGCATCTTATGGTGCTGACCATACTTTTTCATGATTATTGTCTGTTTATTATTGAGGTTTGGGTATTTCAATCAAGTATGCATTATATAGGTTATTTTGACAGCCCATGTGTAAATATGTTTCGTTTAATCAGTAGGCGGATCCATGGCGGAGATGATAGCTTTCATTACAGCGGCGGCTGCGAGCGACGCGTGCGGTTGCCACTCCTTGCCCCGAGTACCGTCACGGTAATCGGAGATTCCTACGAATCAATAATACATGCTTAAGACTAAAGTATTTCAAATTTCTCTATATCAATGGTCAATTTTTACAGTTAACAAAAAGACCAGAGACCTAATTATCTAATTTTAAAATCTATCCCGTTCAATCTGACGTTTGAAAGATATTCACGAATTTATGCTACAACAATTTGACATGCTAGAGTTTGGCAAGCGAAACGTGACACCACCTATTTTTCCGTTTTCATATGGCAACAACATAGAACTGTCAGTTTGACACTACGTTAGACAATTCAAGAATATTGAATTTTGTTGTTTTTGCGAATTTGAACTTGTGTTTTTGGTTAAAAATTATGTCGAAGCCGATAAAAAGTTCATCGAGGAAACTTCTTTCCATCATGATTGACAAGTTTACTGAAGTGAAAACTGAATTAAATAAAAATTTCATGGAGAAATTACAACGATTAGATAAAGTTGTATCTTTTTTAGGTTAGTTTTGTATTATAATTTTGATACTTTCGTTTTAATTTTCTGTAATTAACTAAACAGATATTTTTTATAAAATATTGCTCTATTTCAGATAACTGTGATGGTGATATTCAACCAATAATGGAGGAGATAAATGCAATAAAAACTTTAGAAAAACAAGAAATGCTGAATTCGGAAACGCAGTACTTACAAAAAATTTCTTCAATGACAGGTCTCTTTTCTTGTTTTGATTTAAGATAGATTGATAGTATTCCTATAATATTTACATAGGTTTTTTATGATGTATTGGTTTTTATTGTTGACATCCAATGATGTCATAAGAATGTTTTGTTTAACAAGGAAATTCACAGAATTCATGAAACTAATCAAACCATGTAATTGTTATACATGCTAAATATGCACATAAACTTAACTAAATTAAACATAAATTGCATTCATAGTTGAATAGGTATTTAAATTATTTTGATGTATGTGTCTATCATTATTTGCTTTTAAATACATTTAACATATCTTTGTTTCAAAGTGTTTAATCTTTTATAGATGTAAGTATAAGGACACTAAGAAGGATAAAAAATGAAGCATTAATTAATAAAGGAAAATGGGACACTCCTGGGAAAAAACGACCTCATCAACCAACAGTGTCTGCTTTAGATAATTTTGATTTAAGTGCAATTCGGAATAAAGTAAATGAATTTTACTGTGTGAAAAAAATTGTTCCAACATTAAGAAGCCTTCACAATGAATTAAAAGATGCAATAGGATTCAGTGGTAGCCGTGAGACTTTACGAAAAATTATGCTTAAGAATGGATTTTCTTTTAAAAGCAATGAAAATGAACGTTCTATGCTTATAGAAAAATACCAGATTTCTGCATGGAGGCACAAGTATTTGAGAGAAATAAATATAAAACTAAACGAAGGAAAGCAAATTGTGTACCTTGATGAAACTTATGTACATCAGAATTATAAAGTTAAAAAGTCTTGGCAAGGACCTTCAACAACTGGTGTCACTACAAAGATATCCTCTGGAAAACGGCATATTGTTGTGCATGCTGGATCTGAGGAAGGTTTTGTGCCTGGTGCATTATTAGTGTTCAGTAGTAAATCCAAATCTGCTGATTATCATGATGATATGAACTCATCGAACTTTATGAAATGGGTCAGAGAAAAATTAATACCAAATTTAAGTAAGCCCAGTGTAATTGTTATGGATAATGCCAGCTACCATATAAAACAAATCAATAAACCGCCTATAATGTCTAATACCAAAGCAGATATCCGTAAATGGCTTGTAAATAATGGAATACATTTTGAGGAATATCAGACAAAGGCAGAGTTAATGTGTTTGGTTAATGATAAGAAAACATTGCCTGTATATGAAGCTGAAGAGATTTTAAAAGAACATAATCATGAACTTTTATTGCTGCCACCGTATCATTGTGACTTAAACCCAATAGAGATGGTTTGGAGTCAAGCAAAAAGAAAAATTGCAAGCAGAAACATTGGAATACCAGGAAAGGAAATGGAAAACTTAATAATAGAGTGTTTTAACTTAATTACCCCTAGTGACTGGAAGAAATACACTGATCATGTTTTAAATGTCGAAAATGATTACAAATTAAAAGATGGCATTGTTGAAAACGAACTTGAAAAATTTATTATATCTGTTGGTGCAGACAGTAGTGAAGAGAGTGACTCTGATGATTCCTTGTCATTGTTATCAGGTGTAGAATATTTAGAAACAGATTTTGACTATGAATCAGACTAAAGTATTTTTAGTCTGATTCATAGTCAAAATCTTATCTTAAATTTTCTATTGTGATTAACATGATGATTTTGTGACACCTGTATTATGTAATTTATCCATGGCACTTAATTGTAACAAAAATAAATGTTTTTTTTATTGTAATCTGGTGTTTATATTGACTAATTTAATTTGATAGATAGTGGTTCTGGATCAGAGCAAAAGGTTGTGATGAAAATCCCTTAGGAGACATGTATGTGTTATGAACACATTATAAATATAAGGGCCAGAAATCAAAATTGGCTAACATCACATTTATTAAAAAAATGTGGCCAGAGTCGCCCATATTCATTACAAAAAAACAAAGAAGTCGTTGCAAAAAACACCCTTTTAATTAATGACAAATATGAATTTTTAATATTATAAGTGCTGTTAGCCAATAGGTATAACGAATGGGTTAAAAAAAAGATTCGATTTAGTCCGTCAGTCAGATAATAGAAAAATATTGGATACGTATTTTTTTTCGCTTTAATTTAACAACAAATGGCTTAAGAGGTACTATGCGACGACTTCAAATATGCTTTGCAACAATGTTACTTTAATACAGTTTATCGATACGAAATCAAGTGTCAAAATGGAGTCCAGTGGAGAATGCCGATATTGACATTTCGAAATTGCTCATCATTGATAGAGAATACGAAATAGTGATTTTGACACAATCAAAGTGTCTATTTTTTACGGTGATGACGATTCTTGGTTGTCAGTTGAGTTAGTGAATAGGCCTACTGATATGCTGTTAACTGTACAATTAAGAACAGTCACGCTTTAGTCAAATGTTCCAAAACAAATAATTTTAATTGATATCTAAATGTTAAGATTAAATATAATTAATAAAAGTATCAAAATTATTTTGCAGTACTACATTCAGTGTTTACTGCTTAAGAATTTTTGAAATTGCCGCCCTTTTCTTGTGACACGTTTCGCTTGCCAGACTCTAACAACATTTTTTTTGTAAATAAAAATGACCTCGAAATTTTAACCTACCACGTGATCTACAGGACTAAAATAAATTCGTTGTTTTTCATTTTATGTTGTTATGTATTAACTATTGTAGCACCAAACTTCGAAATCGTAATCAAATACAAAAACAATTGCAGTCAAATTCATTCCTTAGTCTGCTTTCGATAGATGGCGTTGTGGCCGTCTGAATCGCCGTATATCTTGTCTGTGGAGTATTAGTATTAAGAGTTTGTTATGAAAGCTTAAGCTTAACACCGACTTCCGAATGAGTACGTTAGTTTACTGTATTGGATCATACGGACCATTAACACCAGTCGCGAATAAACAGTTTGTTATTATCTATTTGATCACTCCTGTTTCTGTATTAATTACAGATCGTAACAAGGAGTTTTATATAAAATTACCCACTACAATAAATATTTTGTTTTACTTCTTATTCTACCAATAAATATCGGTGTTCCCGGTGAGTTGACAGTTAATTAGTTCTTCTTTTTTTTTTGTATTATTTGTTTTTTTTTTTGCCTATATGTATTAATGTTAATATTCATTCACATCAAATTTAACAATTATGCACTTGTCAGTCTCCCGTTACTGCTTGATCTCCCACACCGCCTGGTTGGCTGGAAGAGATCTCTTATAGAGATAAGCCCACCCTTGCTTGTGATTTACATACAATTGTAATGTTGACTTTGTTTTTTGTGCAATAAAGAGTATATAATTAATGGCTTATCTGCGCATTTCGCACAATTCTGCCAATGTCAAGTAAATAAATTAATTTTTACATGTAAAATGAAAATGAAATGAATGAAAGATGGCGATGATTTCTGTTAATTAGTTGGCTGAACTTTATCTAGCTACACTTTATAAGTTACATAGCTAAATAAATTGTTATCACAATCGCTATACCTCTTGAAGTGATCGCGATTTTAAAATTGGGCAATTAGCCAACAGGTGCGGTCGTTAGCTCACCTCTGACAGATATGAAGCAATCCTTCCTGTTGCCGACGACGCTGTCTAGTACCGCGTCCAGTTCGCAGTCGTACGCGAGTGCGCGCGCGTACGCGGCGAACGCGGCGCGCGCCTCCCCCGCCCCCGCCACCGCGCGCCCCCCCCGCTACCGGCGCGCAGTGAACCCGCCGACCGTTCGCGCGATCACTAACCACATACGTATACGTATTATAATAACCGCAACTGCTAGTGCGCCTGGTCACCATTTTGGTGACGTAATTGCGTTGAACGATCAGTACCGTTAACAAATAAACACTGGTTGACGAGTCTACTTATTGAGTTGGGTTGTGTTGAGATCACACACAATCTTTGTTGTTTTCGATTGTTATTGTTAGGTTTTGTTGTTATTTGTTAACGGCTATTCTGATTTTCACAACAAGTAAACCTTATTTCACTAAAAATAAATATAACCAATGTCTCTCAGTTTATTATTACTTTTGGCTGTTTAAAAAAAATGATTTTCCGTTTGTTTTCGCGATGGTATAAAGTAAATATTATTTTTGACATTTTTATTTATTTTCCATATTCCTTATTTACATATAATATATATATTTACATATAATATATATATTTACATATAAAATGACGTTTTACAAAAAATTTATGCAATATATACAAACTAAAAGTTATTAAATTATTTTAACAATATTTTGGGGGTTATTCATAAATGCGCGGGCGTTATTTAGACAAGCTTCCAGCGCATTAGCAATTTACGGGACTTGTATTACAAATGCCAATGTACTAGGCGTTTCTT